GGCCAATGGAGCAGGCTCTCCTGATGGCAAGAGCTTTTCACCAGCTACTAAAACACGGACTTGGGCATACGCCCATCTCCATTAATTCTGAAAATTATTGGAAATAGGCTTGAAGCAGGGAGCATGGTAGGGGGAGGAATAGGTTTAAATAGTCTGTCATCACACAGTCCTGACTCAAACAAATTGTCTTTGCATGACTGATTAGGTAAAAAGACCAACTGTCCTGAATCCTGGTCACTTGCATCTGCTAAACAAAGTAAACTCAGAGGCTGCTGAGTGCAGAGCTTGGTGTGGCAGTAGCACTGCGGCCATGCCACAGTGACAGCCACCATGCAGGAAGCAGTGAGAGTGGCTGGCAGCTGGCTCCCAGGGCAGGCACCTGCAGTACTCAGGAGGAAAGGCTCCAGCAGATGGACTACTACCTGGCAATCAAACACTTTTAACTGCAAACTCATTTAGATCTGTAAGTTCCCAGATGGATGGTCTGTAATGAAGAATGGTGGATATTCTGCATAAGTTAGTAACAGTGGTAATGTTCTGGTGCACACTTTCTGCTTAGACTTATTTACATCATGAGGCTAGAAATAATACAAAATTCTGTGCATATTACCTAAAATGAATGGAATCAAAGGAGAGACTGTAAATCAAATAATACAGTAACTGAAAGAAAAGTGTGTCTACATATCTTTGGTAAGGGTTGTTACAAATCAATGCAGAGGATGTGTATGATTAAAACATTTGCTCTAAGTAAATGTTCTATTTACTGGCTTCAATTAAAAGGGTTAATAAGTTAACTGGGGTTTTCATAATACTTTTCAACAGTTGCTCAAGCATTTATATACCAGCAGATGGAAAACACATTTATTAAACATTTGGTCTTTGAGTCATGCTGACGTTAGTATCTCAAACAAAATGAATTCAGGCAGCAGCTTTTCGTAATGGCCTCATTCTCTGACTAACTGGTGTATAGTTATAACTTTAAGTAGGAGTTAAGAAAACAGCTCAGATACAAAGAAAATCTGACCAGAAGCCCACAGGGTGCTCCAGTGTAACTGTGCACACATGAAATAACTAGAGGATGCCAGGCTGCTGCAGAGGAAACAGTGGTCCAGATATGATTTGTATCTCTCATCAAAGCACCTGTGGTCCCATAGCCCTGGCTTGCTGCAAGGAATGGAGGTGGATGCCCAGATCAGCTGCGAGTGAAAAGAGTACACTGGAAGCAAAGACACTTGTCAACTGCAGACTGGCTATCACAGCAGCAGCTTCTTGCTTTTCAGGTGCACTAACAGTGAAAATGGTGTTCAGGGGCTACAATGCCACTGCTTTAAGAATTGTGCATGAATCTAAAGTGTGGAGCAGAGTTAAACATGCAGGTAGACAGTTCCAATGAATGTGTTTGCAGGATGCTGTGCTTCTGTATGTAGAGAAGCAAGTTAAAAATGGAGTGGGAAGGCATGGAAACATAAATCCATACATTAGACTGAGGAGAAGGCAGAGACAAAAGGGAGGAAAGAGAAAAGGGAAATCTCTGACCCTGCATACAGAAAATAATATGCATTTTCTTTACAGCAAAAGTAAAGAAACGGTCTGTGCAACAGCCTTGCTATACTGACCCCTGCAGCCCATCCCACTCAAGAAAACTGGAAATTGCATAAAAAAGCATAAAAACTGCTTTTTTATGTCTGTTAAGAAAAAATTAACAATTCTCCAGTCTCTGGATATAGAGAATGAGGTCCTTAGAAAACATGTTTTTTATTATGGTTAATGACAAAACCAGTTTTTAATCCTTTATCTTTTCTAAATCTAAATCCAATGTTTGTTTTGCTGCTTCCTTGTTTTCCACATCAGAATAAATAGAATTAGACTGGAAGTTTATTCCATGTAGTGCCTTTCAGAACATGTGTTTTGAAAAGCAAGTTTTCACAAAGAGGTTGTTAGTGAAAGGAGTGAAAATCCATCCAGAGCTATTTCCAAACTGCCCTGTAAGTTTTCTGCTCGTGCATTGTGCTTTTTGTAGCTGACTGGGAGACATTTCTACAGATATCACTATAGAAATGTTAGCAGAGCCTCATTAAATAGATGAATTATGCATCAGTCCTAGCAAGAACAGAAGCTAACAATTACTGGAAGTTTCACCCAGCAGTTAATGGAGACACTAATACTATTTAGAGAAACAATCACCTCATTTATTTTTTTCTTGTACTATGCAAAGAGAAATTAATTTGTATCGTGTACCAAACCAACTGCAGACTACCAATAGGGTATTTCCCAGCTCCCAAGGCAGCTTCTTGGATGACTGCACAGCATGCTCTGGACTTGAACTACGCTCCTTAACCCTGGTGAGTTTACTGGACTGAGCAGTGAGCTCACATGCCACCAGGGAAAACTCTAAACAGTTATCCAGAACCTATAACTAAACACTATCCAGCATCTCATAAAATACGGCAAATTTTTCTGCAAGCACCAATTTATTCAGCTCTTTTCTGAGCAGACAGCACAGCTTTGACAGCCTAGTCCAAAATCAGTAAGAAGTCACAAAAACTTCCAAATTGGATAAAAAAGAACAAATAAGCTTGCAGCCCAAAGAAATACAGTTCACTACAAGACCTCTGCGCAATGAAACTGTGAACAGAGTGATAAAATTTTGAAGTCAGCAGCAAACAAAACTATTGACAAACAGTACTGAAGCATAAATCACAGTCTCTATCATTTATTCAGCACATTTATGGTTAATGTCTTTACTGAGATAGGCAAGAGATGGAGAAACTTATGATAGGTGCTTTCATGATAAAGTCATCACTTGCTTTGTAGTTTATCTCCTATACACACTCACTAAAATATTTACAGCAAATCTACTTCCCATAAATATCTCTTTAAAAAAAATCTCTATACAAATGCAAAGTAGCTAGATCCTTTCCTGGAAACAAGTTCCAAATTCAAGCATTCCTCTACAGATTTCATCTGCAGCAGCAGTAGTCCATATAGGCTTGTACACTGAAAAAAAATTACCGAAATGGCACATAGGCATAATTATTTGATAGTGCAAGTACTCACATTCTCGAGTTAACCAAAGCAAACCACTGCTTGCTTCTTAGTCACTTCATACTTGAATGAAGCTGAACATGTGGTCAGACTTGACAAAATATTCAAGTAACATAAATGCGGCTTAGTAGTCCCTAACAAGTCTTTCTAGTTCTTTTTCCTGCTGCTGATTGATTCAGAGGGCGCAGAAAACACCACCCCTGAAGTTTGTCTTTCCACTCGTAGAGCTCCATGCAATTAAGAAATTTGCTTCAGTACCTCCAACGCCCAGATCAGTTCCTGCTCATCCAAAGGCATTCTCTCCCAGGCAGCACAGCAGCACAACAAATCACAGGTATTTGCCACCCAATATTTTGTCTATTGTGAACTGCTGAGGATTTGGAGACACGGGCGTACATAGCTGCATGTTAGAACACCGGCCTCAAGGGTTTGCAAAGCCAACAAGTCCTGACAGTATCTGTAAAATGTTGTCCAATTTAGTTCTGAATTAAATACTCGTAATTTATTACAGCGTCTTTCTATGAATAAGGGAACAAACAGCTTTATCCTGCAAGAAGCCTTGTTTGCATAACAATCCTGAAACTAAAACTTCATCTTGCAGTAACAGTACAAGCATTTAGCTTCTTTTAGACTTACACATCAGCCCACCAACTTTTTCAATACACAATTCTACTGCAGGGAGAAAAAAGATTAGTAAAGCAATCAGTAACACTCCATGCACAATTTTTCTTTCCTTGTAAGCAGAGGAAATTTTTCTGCATGACTTAAGTTAAAGGCATATTACAAACAAAAGTCAAGTTACATGGGAGGTTTAGGCAGCAAATAGCTACAGTTAAGTCAGACACCAGAGGTTTTGCAGTCCACCTTCTCAAAAGGATTACTAAAGGTTACAAAAGGATATGGTTTCTATCTTAAAGAATATACTTCCAATTATATAAAAAGGGGGTGGGGGAAGGGAACAGAAATACCTTATTTCAGCAGTCTCAAGATTTAACAACATTGGTAAATTTAACCTTAAATCATCAACAGATAATAGTAATTCCAAAGACTTAAATCAACTTTCACTAGCTTTTAAAAAACACTTCTTGTTTTGCATAAACTGCACATAGTGACACTCCATATTTCTAATATCCTGCTCACAAAATGTTTTAATCCCATGCTCTAATTAGAATAATTGTACGGTGAGCACAGTGAGCAACTCACAAGCTCCTGCCATGTACTTGGCATTTTCTGTGTAATCCTACTGTAACAGCCTCAGCTTTAGTGGGCTAAAACTATGTTTGTGCAGTGATCAGAAGAGGAAAATATTGACATAACTGCAGGAGGAACACTGCTGCTGTGTTGTTATCAGTTGTTCTGCAATTTCTGCCCCCTCCTTAGCTGCCAGCCCTCCTCAGCAACCTTTGAACATGCCAAGCAATCCATATCACAGAGTATCACACAACCAAAACAGTTCGGGAAGTTCTTAACAATAACAAAAAAGTGAACACCTCTTCAGGGTATTGCTTGAGAAATGTTTTTATGCTTTGCAGAGAAGCAAGCAACAAAAATTAGACTGATCAGTAAGGGTGACCAGGAAGGGCTGGGGATTTGATGCATTAAGAGTTGATTAATCTCACAAATTATTACAGACTCAGTGTAACAGCCACATGATTCTGCAGCAAAGCCCTAGGCCTCCCAGCGCCTAGGGTAAGCCCCTGTAGGTCCTTGAGAGCAGAGGACACTGCATGCTGAATGACTGAGCGCCAGCCCTTAAGTCTTCCCAAACTACTTTGCACACTATAAATATTTAAAAGATTATTGAGGTGGGGGATGGGGGCCGAACAGATGGGCTGTGATCTACCAGGAAACTGTTTTTTGGTATTTAAACTGCCATTACTTCCTTTTCCTGCTCGCACAATGTAAGAATTCTTTTAATTAATAATCCAAAGGGGGAAGTGTTCCCGTTTGGTTACCTGTAGCGCTGCCGTTAGTATTTGCTGGGTAGGCCATGTTTGCTCAGTGACACATCCACAGCTGGGCTGTTTAGTGTCATGCAAATGCCATGCATCAAGTCCAACCAGACATGCAACCTGGAACAAACAAGTAAAAAGCAGTTAAAAACAGGTAGTTTTAAGAAGTTAGGTACATTAAGCAGTAGTAAAGTCTCTCTTCAATGCAAACTTCAACCCAGCACTAGCATGCTCATCTTAAATCAGCATCTTATTTATCACAAACCCCAAGGGTGTCCAAGTGACTGAAGCTGAACTGTGGCTCTCTGACAACCTCCGGATCTGTCGTCAGTGAGGATGTAATTAGCTGAATCTAAAATTGGCCTTTGATTTTCTGGCCTGCCCTCAGCTTTTTTGCAGCTGGTCTCTAAACTCCCCTGTACCACCGCAGATTCCTCATTTGCAGGCATGTGCATAAAATTTTATATTACCCAGCATCTTGTGAAGGCAGGGTTAGAGAATATTTTAGGTGAAGAGCACCTACAGAAGCACTGTACCAGTGCGCAATTTCTGAGCTCAGATGTCCCCCTTGGGAGCTGAGGGTAGAACCCTGAGATGCAGCCAGAGCAGGCATCTCTGCCTGACAAACCTAGATACCAACAGCTAGTGTATGGAAGCCATCAGGGTGGGGGGACCAGGGGTGGCATGGACACTGTCAGGAATGGTGCTCAGCTGGCTACAAGACCTCTCCACTGCAAATTCCAGCAGCAATGGGTTCTCTGGGTGCTATGTTTTCTTCCAATCCACACATGGCAGATTGAACCAATAAGCATTTGCCTGAAGCTCATGCTGCAGGTACAGAAAAAGAGCACTGTCCTCTTGAGTGGGTGGCTGCCAAGAATGAAGCCAAATGAGAGGCAGAGGCCAAACCAACAGCAGTTCTGTGGTTTGCTGGCTGACTTGGCAAAGCCAGAATTGTTGGCTCTGCAGTAGGGCTCTTGTTCCTTCTTCCCTGCCCACCTTCAGTGCAGGGGGCAGCCTGATCACAGATCTTACTTCAGGACAGAAAAATGACTCATCTGGGGCTGCAGAGATGCCTCTTCCTGAGTCTGCTTTGAGTTTTCTGCAGTCCAAACAGCATTTTATTTTGTTGACTCAGATAGGTGGAGCTTAGGCATATGAAGAACACGCTGCTTTGCTGACCCCCATCTGACTTGGGCTGACAACTCCTCAAGAAACTAGTCACATTTTTCCAATTATATTTGATTTAGCTCTGATAGTATGTGCAGGAAAGTATTTAAAAGCTAAGCAGATTAGCAAAGAAAAAGAAAATCAAGAAATTAATGAGTGCAGGCACCATGTGAATTTGAGTTAGAGATACACTGACTGATAGAGAAGACTGGCTGTCTTCTATGACAGAGCTCCATCATAGAAGCTAATACCGCTTTGCTTTTTCCTTCAAGAACACAAATACCTTCATTTTTAGTACAGTCCTGATATCAATTTTCCAAGCATGCAGGAAGAGCTTCATTGCAATTCCTCCTCCCCTAGCTCTGCCTTATACACTGACATTTGCCATCTCTTGTTCAGTGGAGGGCAGAGCATGAAGCTGCTATAAAGATATAAGTGAAAGGCTATGAAGAGCAATATAAGGCAGGAATCCAACAAAGGCCATGATGCATAGAGGCCCATCACAAGATTCCTGGCCTAATGATAATTATAAAATTTCTGAAACAATGAAGCATGGCAAAAAAACAAAACAAAACAAAAAGAAAAACATGTTGCTGGCAGAGTTTGCAGCTGGGGCAGAAGTTTTAAACCTGTGAGCTTTTAGGAAAATATTAACTACTTTCTTTCAAACAGATTTTAAAGCATCACTCCCATCACTGCTTGCTGAAGGATATAAAGTTATCTTTTAAGCTGAAGACAGGCAATTTTTACTGAGTCCCAGTGAATGCTTACTGAAAAATTATTGTCAGCCTCCATGTGAAGTTCAGGATGTGTCCTGAAGCTCAGGACAGCCACTGTCTCAGGGCAGGCTGCACTTAGCAGGGTATCAATCTCTATCACTGCAACCAAGGGTAAAGGAAACTGAATTTATTTACTCACTTCTAATTTGTTCGGCATAGCTCTGTGCTGTCTCGGTAGCACTGTAACAAGAGGTACCCTTCCCTGCTTTCATTACATCCCCTGTACAAGGGGAGACCTGAGAGCAGAGCATGCACCCAGGGATGGGTACAGACAGATGGGTGGGAGGGGATCCTGCGGGGGGAGACATCTCTTTTAGGTGCACTGCAGTCCCAAGTATGAATGGATCAACCACAAAAATGAGGCCCGACTGTGGCGTGCCTCATCATGGGTTTAAAAGTAAAATCTGTTACAGTCACTATTCTCAGGCACAATGAGGAGAGCTTCCCAATAGCAAGAAACAAATGTAATTCAGGTGAGAATTGAGACAAAGTTAATAAAAATAGGGCCGAAAATCTAAACAAGGTCTGAGATCTCCATTTTGTTGTGGCTTGAAGAGATGAAATTGACCTGGTACAAACGGCCTTGTGAGTATGCTTCTGCCAATTTCAAAGCTATGCAGGTTCAAGTACCTCAAGCAAACTCACTCGCTGCTTCTGAGCTTTAGTGACAATTAATAAAATAATTCAGGAAGCAAATTCAGTCCAACAGATAGAAGAAAATGAAAAAAAGAAAGGAAAACATAGGATCTAATAATTTGTTAGCTAAGTAAAATAATTGATTCCTATATTTTTTGGTACAGTAGGGTGGTTTAGATTTTTTTGTTTTGTTTTGTTTTTTGTTTGTTTGTTTTATATTACATGCAGCAGGACTTGAAATTCTGTCTATTAAACAGCTCTTCAACTACAGAAAAAAATCTAATCTAGCTCAGCAAACTCATGGAAGAAGGGAATTTTGCTAAAACGTGCTTTGAGCCATACATCGGGAACTGAATTCCTGAAATTGCACCAGCACATACATGGATCATTTTTAGAATGGTGCCACATGTGATTCCCCAGCTGCACACACCCCAGAAGCTGTATTTGGACACAAGTCTCTCATGTGGGCGAGGCACAGCAAAATACCAGAGAGGAGGAAAACTTAGTCTCTTCTACAGCAAAGCATATTCTCCACCAGAGACATCTTACACAAGAAAATTAGTAGAGGAGCTTGTATATTCCATTCCCAAGTCTTCAACTCTTTGCCTATGTGTTTTTACATGCTCAACCCATGCTTGCCTGTGAATATTGTGATTTACAGATCCTAGGGCAAATGCAAAACAAGCAGAGACTAGCTGTACGAAGAGTTATTGCTCAATGAAGCAGTTGTTAAAAGTGTTTTGCATTAGATATTCAAACTCTCTTCTGCCCTGAGGTTCAATAGCAGAAACCTTAAACACACATGATCCTCAGTTTCTACAAACATTCACGACACCCCAGCTTTTACAGGTTTTTCCAGAATGGCAATTTTTTAGGCAGAACATAAAGCCTATGTCCTAATCCTGCCCGAGTCACAAGGGAAAAGAACCTTGCTCCTTTTTTGTGGAGCAACCTGCATCTTGCTAGGTCACTGACACCTATTGTGGTGTTTCAGCACCCCAAGTATCTGAGTATGTATAGATCAGTTCTGGCATCCACACAGCAGAACTACAGAAATGCAGGGGCCTCTAGAGGCACAGACCTTGCAGAAAATCCAGACTCACACTTCAGTCTGATGTTTGCAGGAGACACTCAAGATAGAGAACAGCTGAGATTTGGTCTAAGAGCAGCTGTAGAACAGCATGTTGGCAACACTGTAATTAGAAGAGAAATATAACTCGGCTCTTAACCCAGAGAAGCAGTCCTGAAAGTCCTCTTGTCCAGGGCTGAGGTCACATGTGGAAAGGGTGATGGGTGCACACTGGTTTGTGGGATTCAAGGAAATAGATTGTGGCTTCCCAGGCAAAGAGGCTTTAGGCTAAATAGATGCATAAGTAACTTTTTTTCTCATGGCACACGCAGACTCTTAAGAGCAAACAGTCACATCAACCACTCCAAAGAAGGTCCAGATCAGCACCATATTTTGAACCACTCACAGGGTGAATGTGGTTCAGACAATACAATTCTGTTGTTTAAGACCTGGATTAAAAGTGGGAGCACTGTAGGTCAGAACTATGAAGGATCCAAAGGTATGGGCTCCCAATTGTTCAGATGGATGTAGTCAGGGAATGGTTCCAGGAGAAAAACCAGCTCTGCAATCCTATCCAGCGAGTGCAAAGTGGTGATTAAATAGGTCTAGGGTAGAATGGTTTGACAGTGCAAGTCGACCCATGAGATGCAATACTCAAGAAGAACTGGTACTGCTCCATTCCTGCTGTAGATCAGCACAACGAGACTTCTGCCTGAGACTTCCCTCTCACATGTGGGTCGTCCTGGCAGTAGAACTTGCCCAGTTTCATTCTGCAAGACACTGATATAATTTGCAATCAGGAGACAAGATATATGCAAAACCTATCTGAAAACATAGATGGTAATTTCTCTAGCTGCAAGAAGAAATTGGCACTGGGAATCTCTCCTGCTCAGCCAGAGTGGCAAGCACTTTTCAAACTTGTGCTTTTCTACAGCAAACAGGAATGTCTGCAACCTACGTGTACTAAGTATGCCAGGTGCAATTTAAATGAAGCAAGGTCTGAAGCCAACAACAGCAAAAGAGAAAGTATGTGGGGAGTTGCTGTGGTTGGTATCTATCCTGGGATAATGACTGTATCTCACTGATACTTTCTTTTCAATCTTACCCCTACTCTGGTTGTGTTTTTCTTATCTTTATGTTTATCAAAATGAGTGGCCAATAAACTGAAAGGCAACATTTTTAAGGGAGAAATATATATTTTTAATAGATATACTACTTTACAATTAAAAGCAAAAACCAAGTAAGAATGCAGGCATATAAGGATTTTTTTTCAAGTGAGACACAGAGTGATCAATATTGAGATAAAGGTAAACTGTGTATGATTTTAAATTTCACTTAATTATTTAATCACATAACAATTCAGCCATTCATAAACTTTCTAGAGCCAATGTCTTTATAATGTTGCATCCAAATCACAAGCAAAATTATGCAAGTTGCTGTTCAAGTCTCACTAACGGAACAAAATA